CCTAGGAATAAATTTAGCAAGACCTCCAAGATATGTATAGTGTAAAGATCCTGGAAAGGGGCCTCCCTCGTGACACAAGGGGTTAAGTCTCAGCACTATGAAGCTATCGCAGCCAAGGCAGCATGAATTGGATGCCCAGCCAGGGAGCTACCCACATGGTGCAGCAGTCCTCTCCTGTCTTACCTGCTGCTCCCCTCAGCAGTGTATTTCAGTCAGTCTGCCTGTTCTGCTCCCCACTCTGTCTCTGGTGAATCCTCTCACCACCTCCCCACCTCTGGCATGCACCCCAGCTCTTGTATGCATGCATAAATTAATAAAATCGTTTAAAAAAAAAGAAAAGATCCGGGAGAAACAGGTCACGTATTCATAGGTGTGTGCTGAAGCATGAGATATCCTTATAGGTCTCTGGAAAGGCACATTAGAAACAGTGGTTGCTTCTATTAAAGGAAACTGGATCTGTGGGGAGAGTAAAAGACGAAACTCTTTTCACGACATAATTTTTTTATACCTTTTTTGATTTGTTAGCCTTTTAAATTTTGTTAGATGTGCAAATATTACCTATGCAAAAGTTATTTTTTTGTGAAAGAAGAACCAGGGCAAAGGAAATAGATATTCAAAGGATGTTTTCAGAAAGAGTATTACTAAATTTTTCCTGAAGCTGACTCTGGTGTTGAACGGTGGATATGTGGGTTCTAGGTTGGTACCCCCAAGGCCTCAATCGCTTGGGTGGTTTGGGCCCCAGGCCCCTGCAGTTCTGTGTGAACTCAAGGACCCCAATCTTCACACTTCAGGTCCACATTTCTGAACAGCAGCTCTGACGCTAAGGAAAAGGGCGCCCTCTTCTGTCCAAAAGTAGGAGATTCATGTTCCTGTCAGCATTTAGGGAGACCACCAAAGCAGAATGCTTTAAATGATGAATAGTGAGTTTTCCTTTTATTGTTTTTTTAAACTGTTTTTAAAAGATTTATTTATTTAAGCATACAAGAACTGGGGTACAGGCCAGAGGTGTGGGGGGTAAGAGGATTCAGCAGAGACAGAGTGGGGAGCAGAACAGGCAGATCGACGGAAATACACTGCTGAGGGGAGCAGTGGGTGAGTCAGAAGAGATCTGCTGCACCATGTGGGTAGCTCCCTGGCCGGGGATCAAACTTGTGCTGCAGTGGCTGCGGATAGTTTCATAGGTTGCATCTTAACTCCTTGCAACACCAGGGAGGCCCCCCTTTTACTGTTTTAATGGTAAGGAACAAGTTCCTGATTTTTCTCATCCTGCTAGGATTTCAGCTCCACTTGCAAGCTTCTAAAAATAGTAGAAACCATGTTTCTAACACCTCTTCATCTGACCAAGTAAAAGGAAAAATTCTGATCCTGAAAGAATATCTTAATCATCTTTAAAATATATGATACATATTAGTGACACCATCTGGTGTTGATCTTAGCATTTTCCTTTCAATCTGCATCCATCTTGCTGCAAATGACATGAGTTTGTCTTTTGGATCACTTTGTGGTATTCCACTGTGTATAAAATAACTAAACTGATAGTCAGATAAAGCTAACATTTGATAGCCGACTACAGAACTAAAAAACCAAGGAGGGAAAAGGTAGGGAAGGTGAACAAACAAAGGGAAAAGGAAGCACAATGATCTATCGTGGTGGAATATGGATGAGTGAGATGGTGGGTACGCCATGGTGATAATACCTGATAGGGGTGCCCCAATATTATCTTAGTTAAAAATAAATTTTTTAAATAATAAAAAAATTTAAATAAAATATATTATACAGTTCTAGGACTATAAGAAAATTTTGCAAGGAACTAAACTGTATCATTGTGTAAGGCTCTGAACAGAATCCCTGCCCTCTGTCCCCCTCATCAAAGAATGGCCAGAGGGCATCCAGCTGCTGTAGAGGGACCTGAGATTCTTTATATTTGGTGCCAGATCAGCAAAGGGAGACTACTCACTCCTAGGGGGTCTGCCTTGTAGGTCTGGGTCAGGTACATGTTCCTCTGTTCTCAGCTGTTACTGGGGTTTTCTAATTCAACTGCTCACAGCCTGTGCTGGCCTTACTCTGCCTTCTATATGTATATTTTATACTGTCTTTCTCTTTTGTGTATGCTTTATAGTGTGTATGTCTTTTGAAAAAGGAGAAAGTTTTATATGATCTGAAGAAAAACAAAAATATTGTATATATATATATATATATATATATATATCGTGTGTGTGTGTTTAGCTTCCTTCAAAGATCCCTCTGTAATCAAAAGAATTCTGCCGGGATGAGGATTGATAGACAGCAATTTAGCCCAACTTTTTCATTGCACTGATGAAAAACAGGCTCAGTGATTTCATAATCTAATCCCTTTTTTTTTTTTGCATCATCTAAAGCATGCCGCCCTCCCCACACTCACCACACTCACCACACACACACACACACACACACACACACACACACACACACACACACACACCCCTGTGGGTCTGCTACTCCTAGGCAGCCTATTCGGCTGCCATTTTGTCACCTAAACAAGGTTAAAATGGCCCGGCCAGTTAGGTACAGGAGCCCAATCCTTCAACCCTTAAAATCAAACAAGAGCACAAAGCTGGATCACACTGGGAAGGTTATGCATCACGAGGTATGTCTGGAACACCCGGGGCACTGAGGACCGATGCGTAACACGTACTCCCTGACTTATACATCACGAGGTATGACCGGGAATGCCCGGGGGCCAGGGACCGATGTATGACAAGGGACCTCAGAAGCTGATCAGTGGAATGCCTTGTTGATAAGATTAGAATCATGGCTGGGGATTAGTGTGTGTCATCAAGTAAATAAGAAGTGCCTGGAGGGCAGACTCATAATCCCTAATCTTCTACACCCTTCCCCTTTCTTTAATCTCCTTCCCCTTAATCTCCTTTTGCTCCTCCCCCTTACAACCCATTGCATGTGTCAATAAAAGGGCCAGGATCTTGCTCTTCAGCAGCATCCTGCATTGTGCAGCCTGTTCCACGACTCCCGATTGTCAGTATGGTGTTGTCCGACACAACACACACCCTATCACCTTGTACTCAAGCTATTGGGCTGTTGGAAAAGTCATGATGAATTTTTGCTTGAAAATCATAGGCAAAATATGCCATGACTTTTCTGACAACCCACTATTTCCTCCACATGGAATAGTCTTCCACCTCCCTCACCCATTCAACCTAGTATGATCTCACTTCAAGTCTCAGCTAAACCACTGTAATTTCTTCCACGAAATCTTATCAGTCCGCCACCCCTAAGCCAACCCTGCGCACTGCCTGCCTTCTTTCTTGCAGCCATGCTTCTCCTGAGCTGCCTGGACAATCTCACTGGGAACTGTTTGTGTCTGTCTGCTCCTCCAGACTGCAAGAAGTTCAAAAAGGCAGGGTCTTCATCCTGGGGACATTTTTAATGTTTGGTTAAGCCATTGCCAGGTGCTAATGGTTGGTGGAGAGGCCTGGGATAGTTCAGCACTAAAGCAAAAAATGCCAACAAGCCAATTGACTTAATAATCAAGACAACCATTGCCCTTCATACAACTTAGCCCTTAATGGAAATTATGCATTTCTTTAATTTTTGTACTTTTTTTCATATTTGAATGATTCTGAACATTATAGCTACTCCATCTTATGATCAGTAACATCTTATCCCTGGGGCCTCCCAGGTGGCGCAGGGCTTAAAGTCTCAGTGCTATCAAGCCATCGCCATCCACTGGGGCCTGAGTTCATCCCCAGCCAGGGAGCTAACCCCCATGGTGCAACAAACCTCTCCTGTCTCATCCCCCTGCTGCTCTCCTCAGCAGTGTATTTCAGTAGATCTGTAACAGGGTGGTCCCCAGGAAAGGGGGAGGTTCCCTGCCCCACCCAAGGGAGGGTGGAGCTGAGCAGGAAGAGGAGAAGCTGCAGAAGAGACTGAGGAAGGAAGCAGGATGGAGCCAGGAGACCTGGAGGAGGCGCATGGAGCCTAGAGACATGGGAAGAAACTGCGCTTGTCTTTTGGTCGTGGACTGGGTGACACAGATGTGGGTGAGACCCGTGGAGAGGTGACCATGGCAGCTTTTATCTTGATGTTGATTTTGCTCTTTTCCTTCCGGGCTTGTCTGGTTGTTTCTGGCCCTTTTCTGTGGGTCCCCACTGGAAGATGCTTTAGACTTGTTGCAGGCTTTGGGGCCTTGTTCTGGGCCAATCCCATATGGATGGACTTTTACCCACGAGGGGACGGGTAACTTTGGGTGCTTCATTTAGAAACTAGACTCTTTGCCTTACCTGTATTGTTTCCTAGTTTTATTAAAGATCCTTCCCATTAAAGTCTCATGTTTTGTGTTGATGTGGCGGATGGCAGAACCCATTTAGAATGGGCAGGTTTGCGGGGCTTGGGCTGCCCCTCTCCCTGTCCTATAACAGATCCACCTGTTCTTTTTTTTTTTTTTTTGAAGATTTATTTATTTATGCATACAAGAGCTGGGGTACAGGCCAGAGTTGTCGGGGGGTGAGAGGATTCACCAGAGACAGAGTGGAGAACAGGACAGGCAGACTGACTGAAATACACTGCTGAAGGAGCAGCGGGCAAGGCAGGAAATTGAAGTCTGCTGTGCTATGTGGGTTGCTTCCTGGTCGGCCAGGGATCGAACTCATGCTGCAGAGGCTGTAGATTGCTTCATAGTGCTGTGCTTAACCCCTTGTGCCACCAGGGAGGCCCCAGATCCACCCTGTTCTGCTCCCCACTCTTGTCTCTGGTGAATCCTCTCACCACCTGCACTTCTGGCCTGCACCCCAGTTCTTGCATGCATAAATAAACAAAAATAAATCTTTAAAAAAATCTTATCACTAAGGAAATCCAGTAATTTATTCTCCTTCTTAGGACCTGGCCTTCCACCTCCTTTATAAATTGACATGACGGCTGACAGGGTAGAACAAGTAGGTCTTTAGGACTCTGTATAAAGATGTGACTTGGGGATCTACCACCTTTTTTCTGCCTCTTCCTACTAGGAGAGGTTGCTTCAGTGCAAGGGACCGCATTTGACTTGAGGAAGCCAGTGGAGCTTGGAAAACACCTGCAGCAGTTCCACCTTGGTGGATTTGACCACAATTTCTGTCTGAAGAGATCTAAAGAAAAGCATTTTTGTGCACGGTATGTACTTCTCTCTTACTGCCTCCAGGAGGAAGAAGTTACCAGCCAGTTTGAGGAGCTTTTTCTCTGGCCACATCAATACCATTTACTATGCAAAGCACAGGGGACCAAACACGACTTCAAATATCTTTCCAAAGCTCCTTTTCCATAGGTGGATGCTGTAGAATTTATCTCCCCTTCTTTCACCATGCCGTGATCCCTGGGCCCCTACTCAGCATCCCTCCTCAAGTTGCTTCCCTCTCTTCCTGTTTTTTAAGATTCATTTTTTGTTGTTGTTACATAATTTAACCCATTTAGGCCAGGCTAGCGATGCTTCAAATGGTGGAGCTTCTACTGCTGGACTGACCAGTGGCAGGAGGGATACTGCAGGCCCAGACACTGTTCTCACACAGGAACCACAGTGCCAGCTCCCCCAGCTCATCTCTTCATCATTTTAGTTGTGCCACAGAAGGAGCAAGTGTACTTGACATGTGGTTGATTTCCGTTTTCTTCACTGTTTCCTGACGGAGGCACCATACCAGTCCCTGTTTACCCACAGTTCCAGCTTCATGGTTGGAATGGTGCTTGGCCATGACACCACAAACCAGGCCCAAGTCCAGAGTGAAGGCCCATTTTCTATTAGAAGTTCTAACTCCGCCTGACAAGTCCCCTCTGACTTCCTTGAACTTCAGGACCCTGTGAATGTTCTTGGTTTGTGATTTATGCTCTGCCTACTCCCACAGAAAGTTGGAGGCTACATTTTCCCCAGCGTCACCAGATTCAGCCTTGTCTCAGAGGCTTTTGTGGGCACACTCTCTTCTCACCAAATTCCTCGCTGTCGCATCTTTGTGAATCCCTACCTCTGCCCTAACACCTAGCACCATGCTTGGCACCAGCAAATAACCACGAAATGTTTGTATAGGAATGGATTTTAAATAAAGCGTGGGAATGAATGAAACCCTTGATAGAAACAGAAAACTTCAAAAGCCTCGTCCCCCACAGAGCCCCAGCAGCACCAAGGCCCAGACATGTTCCTCCAGCTCAAGCTCTTTCCTCCTCTGTGCCAGCTATTCACATTTCTGTCCCCACCACCCCCATCAGAGGAGACCATCCTGCCTCTCTGCATGTTTTCAGATCCTGACCATCTCTTCCCAAACATCCTTCCCTGCACCTCTTAATGGTATGGATGTTTTAACTCCCTTGCTTGTGTTTTATTTCTTGGGCAGACTGTAAGACCCAGGTGTCTTTATCTCTAGCTCAATCCTCAATCAGGTGGGTCCTCTCACCTCTGTAGAATAGAGGTCTGGTTTAATTAAAAAAAAAAAAAAAAAGGAACTAGTGACTCTAGTGAAAACCCACAGTATATGTGTTTGCAGTCTGGCTTAAGAGTCTGCCCTGCTCTAGCCCCAGGGCTGAGGGAGAGCGGAGGCTCTTCTCTTTTATAAGGCTTAACTGGTTCTTTCACCAGACCTTGAAATGAGCCCCAGCATTGTGAGAGAATCCCAGCCCATGGACCCCAAACTGCCTCTCTTCAGCCTGGTTGCCCCTGACACATACATATACAGCAAACAGGGGTCAGTCTGCCCCTCCCTACAAAAGCCAAGGTATGGTAGAGAATGAGAAGTTGCTAACAAGGAGCCTCAAAACCACCTGCTCGTACCTCACCCATGAGGCTACCCAAGGACTTCCCACCATGTTCCTCTTGCCTTTTTCTCCACCTGTTTTGTGTCTGTTCTGTGACAGGGTCTGATTCCTACCTCAAAGCTCCCACCCAGCTTCTTCCTGCCCCTGCCTGGACTTACTAGAGCTTTGACTTTACCCCTAGGGTCCATCATGCTGGAAGTGGGCGGGTGCTGGAAGTGTACACCACCCAGCCAGGGGTCCAGTTTTACACAGGCAACTTCCTGGATGGCACACTGAAGGGCAAGAGTGGAGCAGTCTATCCCAAGCATTCTGGTTTCTGCCTCGAGACCCAGAACTGGCCTGATGCGGTCAATCAGGTAAAGCCACAAGCTGACCTGTCACAGATGTTGTGCCCAAGGTCACACTGTATAATCAAGATCACGACATTGAAATCAGGCATGTACAATTCAAAAGTGGATGTTTGTTCACTTCTCCAAGTCATGATAAACACAGGAAAAACTTAGCCAAGTTACTAACATGGCCTTAACGTTGAAAAAAAAAAAAAAAGAGCTAATAATTTGTACCTCCAAATCTTTTATTCAGTTTAATGTTTCTCCATATCAACACCTACTGGTCTTATGCAACCACTTTTTTTTTTTTTTTTTTTTTTTTTTTAATAGAGGCATGCTTTATTTATTTGTTTGCTGGTTTCTTTGTTTGTTTTGTTTATACATGCACTGGGTACAGTCAGAAGCGCGGGAGGGCGAGAGAATTCACCAGAGCCAGAGCGGGGAGCAGAGCAGGCAGAAGGACCGAAGTACACTGCTGAGGGGAGCAGCGGGCGGCAGGAGAGGTCTGCGCGCCATGTGGGACCCTCCTCCGGTGGCCGGGGAGCAGCCGGGGATCGAACCGGCGCCGCAGAGGCCGCGCGCAGCTTCGCAACCCAGCGCTCAACCGCTGCGCCACCGGGGAGGCCCCTTATGCAACCACTTTTAAGAAGATTCCCCATATCATCTCTTCCTATCTGCTTCCTCATAATTTTTTCTAGCTATGGCCTAGAACCACTGGGCTATGATAAGACCCTTGTACCTTGTGTCAGAATGTAAACCATAGCACTGCTCCCTTCATCAGGAAAGCTACAACAAAGTGTGCTTAGTGATACTGTTGCTTTTCATTCTGGCTCAAGTTCTTTCTCTCATTGCATACCAATAATAAACAGTTCTCACACTGGCAAATGGTTAGGAGAACTGGTCTGGTCTAGAGACCATTCCAGAAGCCACCCCAAATGGTTCAGTATGGACCCTGGGCTGCTAGAGTGTAACCTGTATTGTTTTCTCCCTCACAGCCCCACTTCCCTCCTGTGATGCTGAAGCCTGGTGAGGAGTATGACCACACCACTTGGTTCAAGTTTTCTGTGGCTTAAGGAAGTTTAAAGATATGACCTGTCCCAGGGACAGGCTGGCAGCACCTTCAACAGCTGGTCTCCTGCCTAGAGATGAGATGAAGATTTAGAGCCTTTAAAAATGATCCTATGAATTAAAATCATACAAATGACAGCTATTATGAAAATCAATCTGAAAAGTGACCCTGTGAATCATATAATGGTAGCTGAATGTTGATTTACTTTTCCAATGAATGGCTCCAGTCTCTTTTAAGTTCTTAAAGAAAACTCAACCTCCAATGTCATCTAAGCCCCGACAGAGCCCAGGAGTGATACCTGGGCACCCTGTGCTGCTGTTGCTCCATCTCTCTAACCTGCCTCTTTCTTTTCTACTTTTTACCCTTTTTATCTTTGATCTTACTTGCATTCCTTTCCTTTTTCCTCCTCCTCTGCCTCCAACTGCTTTGCCCTGGTGCAGCACTTCAGCACATTCAGTGCTCACATTAGCTCATTCAACATGCTGGCAGGTGGATCTCTCTGCATCAACGAAATGCGAGGGGCTAAGGCTCAGAGGGTACACGACCCACCTAAAGACATACATTTAGGACTTGAGGTCAGGAAATTCAAGCCTCCTTTGCCTCCACTTTAGTCCGTCAGAGCATTCCTAGGGTCACTGACAGACAAAGGGAAAGAGGGGTGCGCCTCTGTTAGAGAAGCTCTTCTTTCCAGATTCAGTTTTATATGAAGCATCAGTCTGAGTTCAACTGCCTCTGAGCCTTACAGGGAGTAAGACTTGAAGTGCAAGATCACTCTTTCAGAGAGAATTTGTGATTCTTAATTGAGAAAACCCTGCCAGCCACGGTGTGGGAGGAAAGAACCCAATAGAGACAGGCTCTGGGAGAAGGGCCTTACCTGAGGATTGCACGCTGCACTCAGAGCAGACGTTGCATTGCGTACAAAGGGTCGGGGCTCCCTCCTTTACTGGACAACTGGAGTCATCAGTGACGGGTTTGGGTTGATGATTTTTAAAACCATATACTTCATGCTGTACCATTCAATTAATTAAAATAAAAATCTGTACCTTCAGATTTCCAGTGTCTTGACTCTGTCAGATGAACCTTTACAAAATGGGCCAAATACTTGGTGAGTCCTGGTTGCCCTGTTCCTCGAGGGAAGTCATCCGCTGGCAGCCTGTTGAGCTTCCCACACTTCCTCTTTCTTAGCAGCAAGAGTAACCAAAAACATTGCTTATTTCAGCCTTAGTTTCCTGAGTAGCTGCTAGGTACACAGTTCTCTGCTGGGTCTTTTAATGGAGTTCAAGAGGTAATGCCCGAGGTGTATTTCCCCACAGAGACATCACAGTCCCTCTAGAGGAGGCAAGAAGACAGTAACGAGAGAGTGTCAAATTGCACCATGACAGGGCTAGGAACCCAGAGCACTAACTTTAGTCCTAGTATTTACTACCCGGGCAATTTAATTTCACTTGGCTTCAGTGTGCTCACCTGTAAGGCAAAGGGATATAAAAGTAATGATCTGGGCCTCCCCGGTGGCGCAGCGGTTGAGTGCTGGGTTGCGAAGCTGCCCGCAGCCTCTGCAGCGCTGATTCGATCCCCGGCTGCTCCCCGACCACCGGAGGAGGGTCCCACATGGTGCGCAGACCTCTCCTGCCGCCCGCTGCTCCCCTCAGCAGTGTACTTCGGTCCTTCTGCCTGCTCTGCTTCCCACTCTGGCTCTGGTGAATTCTCTGACCCTCCCACGCTTCTGACTGTACCCAGTGCATGTATAAATAAATAAATAAATAAATCTTAAAAAAAAAAAAAATAATGATCTGGAAGGTGAAAATGTCTGCAGGGCTAGAGCGAAACCTGACCACTAGTCAAGTTCTTTTCTCTCAGGCCCATCGGGTAGCGGTGATGAAGGGCCTGAAAAGGTGGAGCAAATGTTTTGATGATCAATAAAGCCTGCAGCGGTGGACCTAGTTCTCTTCCCTGCTGGGTTTAAGCAAATAATGGAGATCTAACCAGATTACTGTGGAGAGCTCTGAGTAATTTGTATTTTTCTCCATGTCCTTCTTCTAGGCCCTCTGGACAATTGAATTCTTATCCTGTTGCCATCTTGCCAGGATTCTCCTACTTAGTGACTCATTCTCATTTTATTACAGGAACAGCCAGAAGTGTGTTCAAATGGATTTTTTTTTAACAGATTTATTTTTGCATACAAGAACTGGGGTACAGGCCAGAGGTACGAGGGGTGAGAGGATTCACCAGAGACAGAGTGGGGAGCAAAACAGGCAGATTGACTGAAAACACTGCTGAGGGGACAGGAAAGATCTGCTGCGTCATGTGGGTAGCTCCCTGGCCAGCTGGGGATCAAACTCATGCCGCAGAGGCTGCGGATTGCTTCATAGTGCTGTGCTTAACCCCTTATTTTATCTGACCCTTACAATCCTGTAATGAGGTGGCAAAATATTCATTAAAAACAAGAGGTTGTTGACTGGAGAAAGTACTGACACTACACTGCAGAAAGTCCTCAGTTTTTCCTTTTAGAGATGAAAAAGCTAAAATTCATAATATACGCCATTGATAAACAGAGAATTTTCACTCAGTCACTGTTAGCATTATAAATTAATGCAACTTTTTGGGAGGGAAATGTAGCAGAATCTATCAGTATTGACAAACTTGTAAAGCTCATGCTCTAGCAATTCCACTTGTAGAAATCTGTTCCATTTAAATACTAGCACAAACATCTAAAGACAAACATTCAGGTGAGGGTGTTTGTTGCAACCTAACTGGGGACTACCAACACAATTGACATATAACAGCTTCTCTAAAACAATGGAGTCCTGGATGCAGTGGAATTGAGTCCCAGGGCAAGTTAGGGTTAAGTAGGCAGCTTCTGGGACAGTGCAAGCAGGGACTTCAGGAGAGTTAAGGGAGGCCTCTGAGATAAGGACAGAGAAATTCAGGAGGGCTAATGAGGGCAAACAGTAAATTTTAGGAGACCTTGTACAGGGAGGTAAAAAAGAGAAACTCTAACATAAGAGCTAGGAAAATGGGCACATCTGCCCGGAAGAATATAGCCATTAGGAGGAAGAGTCAATCACAAAATAGGGTAATGAGATTTTAGAATAGAGGGTGTGGGGTAAGGTAAAGTATCAGGTTTTTCTGCCCTTCAGCCATCAGGATAGATGATGGATCCTTGCGGTCCTGAATGCATGCCTGATGGCGGGCACCTGGAGTAGGGTGTGGGCAGATGTAGATGGAATTCACCTGGCTAAGACTGGCCTTGTAAGGGCGGCGTCACGGGGACGCCAGAACAGCAGAGAAGCAGAGACCACCAGAGAACGCCAGAGAGCCCAGTAAGAGTGAAGACTTGGTGGGGGCTGGGAGGCCTGCCAGCCTCCCGGCCCCCTCCCCAGCACCTGCTGTGTACCTGGTAAATCCCAAAAAAGCCTGCAAAAGCCACCAAGGGCTCCAGGACTCTCTCCTCCTTCACCCTGTCTGCTCAGGTCCTAGAGATCCTGCCCTGTGGCCTTCCTACCCTTACAGAGGGTGGGGAAAAGGTTTAAATACCCCTAGACAGAGGCCCACAACGAAGTACTTGGAAGGCCTTGCTTTCTTCCTTTAAATAAACTTTACTATCTTAAACAAAGTTTGTTTCTGCTTACTTATCTGAGATGTCTGCAAATTCCTTTTTACGGCTTCATGGGACAAGAACCTGTGGTGGTTTAAGAGCTAAATGAACAGCACACACTGGCATCAGAACGACACAAAGTGCTTAAAAACCCATTCCATATCATCCAAAACTACCCTTCAAAAGTGAAGGTGAAATAAAAACATTTCCAGATGAACAAAGCCTGAGAAGTTTCACTGCTACTAGATTTGCCTTCGAAAAATACTAGAGTCCTTCATGCTGAAAGGATATTAAGATGGTAACTCGAATCCATAGAAAGAATATCAGTAAAGGAAAATGTATCAGTCAATAAAAAACCTGTATTTTCTCATTTCATCTCTTCTTTAAAAGACATGATTGTATAATTAGTAATAATTAAAACACTAGAGAGTTTATTACACAGATATCATTATATATTCATATATATTTTAAGCTTTGTGGGACTTACAGTCTGTCATAATTACTCATCTCTGCACTCCAGCACAAAATCATTGACAATAGGTAAACTAATGAGCAGGGCTGCATTCCAATGAAGTTTTATGATAGTGCAATTTGAGTTTCACATAATGAAATGTTATACTTTTGGTATTTTTCCAAACACATAAAAATGTAAAAACCATGCAAGCTCATCAGCTGTATAAAAATAGCAGTGGGCCAGATTTGGTCTGCCGGGCCTAATTTGTTGACTCGTTCTAAATAACTTGTACTCTGAAGGAGTATAAACAGTGAAGCACAGCATATGCATCCTTAGGCAAAAGCAGTAGTTTATTCTTGTCCTAGGAGCCCAGGAACTCAAGTGATGGTCCTTCTGATAGTGACCAAGATAAACTGGCCCATCCACCTTTAACATCTGCCAAATATATTTTCAGTCAGGTTTTCTATCCTAGGTCATAGAAGGATTTCTCTAAAATCAGTTCTGGGGATGTGTATGTAAGCTTGTACCCTGTCTGCAGAAATATTTGCACAGAATTTCCATACCCTTTCTGAGCAGGACTCTGCGTTAACCCAGAGGAGAGGAAAACCTTGCACTTAAGTTGCAGCGTAGAATTGCACTGCAAACAGCAGCATAATGATCTAAATTCTTTGCAGGCAGATTCAGACAGGAGGTGTGATAGATAGCTAAGAGGAAAACATGGGCTTTTCATCGATATGGTTACTTTATTTATTTTTAAGATTTATTTTATTTATTTATTATTTATTTATTTATTTATACAAACACTGGGTACAGTCAGAAGCACGGGAGGGTGAGAGAATTCACCAGAGCCAGAGCAGGGAGCAGAACAGGTAGAAGGACCGAAGTACACTGCTGAGGGGAGCAGCTGGAGGCTGGAGAGGTCTGTGGCCATGTGGGACCCTCGCCGGTGGCTGGGGATCAAACCGGCGCTGCAGAGGCTGTGGGCAGCTTCACAACCCAGTGCTCAACCGCTGCGCCACAGGGGAGGCCCTGAAATGGTTACTTTAAAGGTCTCACAGAAGAGCTTCCAAGTTTATGTTTGGTTTAATAGATTTATAGAATTCATTCATTCATTAACTTAAATATTCATTAAATATTTATGTATTTGTAAGTGAGAAAATGGAACAAGGCCTAGAACCTGCTGTCACATTTTGTCTTGTGCTGGCAGCAGTGTTAACAGGAGTCCCAATGGGGAAGAATTCCAGCTTGTTGATAGCAAGGGAACTCTAAACCAGACATTTGAAAACATGGACATTTTCTAGAGTGGAAGAAAAACATGTCTTTCAACACAATTTAAGACTATGCTGAGGGCCTCCCCGGTGGCGCAGTGGTTGAGCGCTGGGTTGCGAAGCTGCCCGCGGCCTCTGCAGCGCCGGTTTGATCCCCGACTGCTCCCGGGCCACCAGAGGAGGGTCCCACATGGCGCGCAGACCTCTCCTGCCGCCCGCTGCTCCCCTCAGCAGTGTACTTCCGTCCTTCTGCCTGCTCTGCTCCCCGCTCTGGCTCTGGTGAATTCTCTCACCCTCCCGCGCTTCTGACTGTACCCAGTGCATGTATAAACAAAACAAACAAACAAACAAATAAATAAATAAAACATGCCTCTATTAAAAAAAAAAATTTAAAAAAAAAAAGACTATGCTGAGACACCACTTTTCGACACAAGATTGGTAAAAATCAACATGCTTGATGGCCCACCATGTGGTGGGTACAATGGTGCATGGAAACGGGAACTCCTATACTTTGCTACCTCCAGCAAGCAAACAATACCTAATAAAATATATAATGCACATACCCTCTGACCCAACAATTCAACTTTTAGGGAATATCTTACATAAGCAGATTCTAGTAAACACTAAGATCTATTCACTACAATTAGCATCCCCCATATTCATCAATTCCTGTTACTGACTCAATTCCTGTTACTCCTTTGCTTAAACTCTAGGGGTATGCAAGGGAAGTAAGACCTGCAAGGTCCTATATGATCTATACCCTAAACCCCCTCTTTCTATGCGATCTCTTCCCACTCTCCCCTGTTCACTTCATAAGGAACTCCTTACCCTTCAACAATTGCCTCTGCACTTATTCCCCCAGAAAGAGTGCTCAAATGTCATTATTAGAACCCACCCTGTACAAAACAGAAACCAACTCCCTACCCCTCTTCCCTGTTTCATTCCCACCAGATCAGTTATTACCAACCTGGTAATCTGTTCATCTCTCCAGAATTTAAGCTCCATGAGGACAAAGACTGCTCACTTCCATATTCCAAGGCAAGCAGTACCTGGTGCATTTAAGTGGCACAAATTTATTG